GAAATGACAATTTCTCTGCCAATATTCACGCACATTGCCCTTCATCTTTCATGTAGCTGTTAAAGATGGTAATCATTTTACATAAACCTCATAAAATTATGAAGGCAAATCAGGATGTTGAACAATTGAACTGCTTTCAGTTGGAAAAATTTTACCTACACCCATTGATCGTTGTGAATGAAATAGTCGGAAATGCAGGAAGCCATTTGATATGTCAGCTGCATATGCTGATCTGCACGTAGCCGGCAATGTGATGTGATATTTTCCATACCGCACGTAGCTTTCATGAACAGATATTCCCTACGGCCTCAGTACTGTCTGTGTTTTATCCCTTAGAAAAAGGACAATATTTTGTTGCCATGCCTGCTACTACTGTATGAAATACTGGCAAATGCAATCATTAGGTAAGTGTGTGAAATTTGATGTGTCCAGATATGACAGTTTTATTCAGGATTGATTACTATTGAATTGGCTGTTGTTAATGACAGTAATACGTATCAGTTGATTTGAGAAAAATTCATCCAAGCACAGTAATGTCCTGACAATTTATCAAACATCTATTGCTGCCTGAATTTAGTCTTGTCAAATTAAAAAAGATATTTTGCAGTATTTTTGTCAAAGGATTACCCATGTAGACACCAAAAATATCTGCAGGTTATCAGTAATATGGTCAGTTTGGTAGTGCCAATTGGAAGCAACATTGAAATGACTTCTTAAGTTAAAAAATTTTTTTTTTATATTGTTTGCATTAACAGTGAAAGGAACTGTTGTTTTTTTCGTAGAAGAGGAGAACCCAGACAAAGGACATTGTCTGAATTGTGGAATACTCCAGGACAATGGCCAAAATCATGTTATACACATCATACGATTCATAGCACAGATGATTGCCTTCGTTGTATATTTGTCGGAACATATATGGAGATAAAATAAAAGGGGGCTGCAGCCATATGTCCAGTATAATGGATATCATTGATAGTATTCCGGAAAGAAAATATTTGGTGGCATGAGCCGTAGGGAAGGCATTTGTAAACTATCACGAAATGGCCTTATCACTTTGTTTGGATGTACATATAGATTTCCTATATCACCAAGCCCAAATAAAGTGGTGTCCTAGATTGTTAGGATACTCTGCGGCTGTTAGCTCTATAAGCTCTGAAGCCTTGTTGACAACAACAGTGCAGAATGCATGTACCAAATTTCTTCTGCTATGGCCATGAGCTAAAAAGCTGTTTGTTAGTCTTAGTTCATCTCTGGCAGATTGTAGGCAGGTTACTGACCTAACTGGCTTGTCCCAGAATCTAGACTAATAGGCCCTGCCGTCAGTATGTTTAATGTTAATTTGTTGTTGTACTTGTTCCCTGAAGGTAGCAGGATTTGGTATTCCTACTTGTGAGGTATTTGGGAAGCAGGGGCTAGAGGCCATAATCTGGTTGTAGAGCTGATCTTACAAGCTGCTCCATCAGGGGGACATTGACCCCACCCTCTCTCTGTCCCAGGATCCAGCATACAGGATGAATTCTTGCTGCAATGCAATAAACCAGCAGGCAGATGCTGTTACAGTTATGTGA